GTGTGTAGTGCCTGTACAGTGTATCTTGTCTGCAGTGACTGTACACTGTACAGTGTATATTGTGTGTAGTGACTGTACCGTGTATCTTGTGTGTAGTGACTGTACAGTGTATCTTGTGTGTAGTGACTGTACCGTGTATCTTGTGTGTAGTGCCTGTACAATGTATCTTGTGTGTAGTGCCTGTACAGTGTATCTTGCGTGTAGTGACTGTACCGTTTTTCTTGTGTGTAGTGACTGTACCGTGTATATTGTGTGTAGTGACTGTACACTGTACAGTGTATCTTGTGTGCAATGACTGTACACTGTACCGTGTATCTTGTGTGTAACGACTGTACAGTGTATCTTGTTTGCAGTGACTGTACACTGTACAGTGTATATTGTGTGTAGTGACTGTACAGTGTATCTTGTGTGTAGTGACTGTACCGTGTATCTTGTGTGTAGTGACTGTACAGTGTATCTTGTCTGCAGTGACTGTACATTGTACAGTGTATCTTGTGTGTAGTGCCTGTACAGTGTATCTTGTCTGCAGTAACTGTACACTGTACAGTGTATATTGTGTGTAGTGACTGTACAGTGTATATTGTGTGTAGTGCCTGTACAGTGTATTCTGAGTGTAGTGACTGTAAAGTGTATCTTGTGTGTAGTGACTGTACAGTGTATCTTGTGTGTAGTGACTGTACAGTGTATCTTGTCTGCAGTGACTGTACATTGTACAGTGTATCTTGTGTGTAGTGCCTGTACAGTGTATCTTGTCTGCAGTAACTGTACACTGTACAGTGTATATTGTGTGTAGTGACTGTACAGTGTATATTGTGTGTAGTGCCTGTACAGTGTATTCTGAGTGTAGTGACTGTAAAGTGTATATTGTGTGTAGTGACTGTAAAGTGTATATTGTGTGTAGTGACTGCACAGCGTATATTGTGAATAGTGACTGTACAGTGTATATTGTGTGCAGTGCCTGTACAGTGTATCCTGAGTGTAGTGACTGTACAGTGTATCTTGTGTGTAGTGACTGTACACTGTACAGTGTATCTTGTTAGAAATGAATGTACAGTGTATCTTGTGCGAAGTGACTGTATGGTGTATCTTGTGTGTAGTGACTGTACAGTGTATATAGTGTGTAGTGACTGTACAGTGTATATAGTGTGTAGTGACTGTACAGTGTATCTTGTGTGTAGTGACTGTACAGTGTATATTGTGTGTAGTGACTACACAGTGTATATTGTGTGTAGTGCCTGTACAGTGTATCTTGTGTGTATTGACTGTACCGTGTATCTTGTGTGTAGTGACTGTACAGTGTATCTTGTGTGTAGTGACTGTACAATGTATCTTGTGTGTAGTGACTGTACAGTGTATCTTGTGTGTAGTGACTGTACCGTGTATCTTGTGTGTAGTTCCTGTACAGTGTATCTTGTGTGTAGTGACTGTACAGTGTATCTTGTGTGTAGTGACTGTACAGTGTATCTTGTGTGTAGTGACTGTACAGTGTATCTTGTGTGTAGTGACTGTACAGTGTATCTTGTGTGTAGTGACTGTACAATGTATCTTGTGTGTAGTGACTGTACCGTGTATCTTGTGTGTAGTGACTGTACCGTGTATCTTGTGTGTTGTTACTGTACAGTGTATCTTGTGTGTAGTGACTGTACACTGTACACAGTATCTTGTGTGTAGTGACTATACAGTGTATCTTGTGTGTAGTGCCTGTACAGTGTATCTTGTGTGTAGTGACTGTACCGTGTATCTTGTGTGTAGTGACTGTACAGTGTATCTTGTGTGTAGTGACTGTACAATGTATCTTGTGTGTAGTGACTGTACCGTGTATCTTGTGTGTAGTGACTGTACACTGTACAGTGTATATTGTGTGTAGTGACTGTACAGTGTATATTGTGTGTAGTGCCTGTACAGTGTATTCTGAGTGTAGTGACTGTAAAGTGTATCTTGTGTGTAGTGACTGTACAGTGTATCTTGTGTGTAGTGACTGTACAGTGTATATTGTGTGTAGTGACTGTAAAGTGTATATTGTGTGTAGTGACTGCACAGCGTATATTGTGAATAGTGACTGTACAGTGTATATTGTGTGTAGTGACTGTACAGTGTATCTTGTGTGTAGTGACTGTACAGTGTATCTTGTGTGTAGTGACTGTACAGTGTATCTTGTCTGCAGTGACTGTACACTGTACAGTTTATATTGTGTGCAGTGACTGCACAGTGTATCTTGTGTGTAGTGACTGTACAGTGTATCTTGTCTGCAGTGACTGTACACTGTACAGTGTATATTGTGTGTAGTGACTGTACAGTGTATATTGTGTGTAGTGACTGTACAGTGTATCTTGTGTGTAGTGACTGTACAGTGTATCTTGTGTGTAGTGACTGTACAGTGTATCTTGTGTGTAGTGACTGTACAGTGTATCTTGTGTGTAGTGACTGTACAGTGTATCTTGTCTGCAGTGACTCTACACTGTACAGTGTATATTGTGTGTAGTGACTGTACCGTGTATCTTGTGTGTAGTGACTGTACAGTGTATCTTGTGTGTAGTGACTGTACAGTGTATCTTGTATGTAGTGACTGTACAGTGTATCTTGTGTGTAGTGACTGTACCGTGTATCTTGTGTGTAGTTCCTGTACAGTGTATCTTGTGTGTAGTGCCTGTACAGTGTATCTTGTGTGTAGTGACTGTACCGTGTATCTTGTGTGTAGTGACTGTACCGTGTATATTGTATGTAGTGACTGTACACTGTACAGTGTATCTTGTGTGCAATGACTGTACACTGTACACAGTATCTTGTGTGTAGTGACTATACAGTGTATATTGTGTGTAGTGACTGTAAAGTGTATCTTGTGTGTAGTGACTGTACAGTGTATATTGTGTGTAATGACTGCACAGTGTATCTTGTGTGCAGTGACTGTACACTGTACAGTGTATCTTGTGTGTATTGACTGCACAGTGTATCTATTGTGCAGTGACTGTACACTCTACAGTGTGTCTTGTGTGTAGTGACTGCACAGTGTATCTTGTATGTAGTGACAGTACACTGTACAGTGTATCTTGTTTGTAGTGACTGTACACTGTACAGTGTATCTTGTGTGTAGTGACTGCACAATGTATCTTGTATGTAGTGACAGTACACTGTACAGTGTATCTTGTGTGTAGTGACTGCACAGTGTATCGTGTATGCAGTGACTGTACACTGTACAGTGTATCTTGTGTGTAGTTACTGTACAGTGTATCTTGTGTGTAGTGACTGTACAGTGTATCTTGTGTGTAGTGCCTGTACAGTGTACAGTGTATCTTGTGTGTAGTTACTGTACAGTGTATCTTGTGTGTAGTGACTGCATAGTGTATCGTGTATGCAGTGACTGTACACTGTACAGTGTATCTTGTGTGTAGTGACTGCACAGTGTATCGTGTGTGTAGTGACTGTACAGTGTAACTTGTATGTAGTGACAGTACACTGTACAGTTTATCTTGTATGTAGTGACTGTACACTGTACAGTGTATCTTGTGTGTAGTGACTGCACAGTGTATCTTGTGTGAAGTGACTGTACAGTGTATCTTGAGTGTAGTGACTGTACAGTGTATCTTGTGTGTAGTGACTGTACAGTGTATCTTGTTTGTAGTGCCTGTACAGTGTATCTTGAGTGTAGTGACTGTACAGTGTATCTTGTGTGTATTGACTGTACAGTGTATCTTGTGTGTAGTGACTGCACAGTGTATCTTGTGTGTAGTGACTGTACAGTGTATCTTGTGTGTAGTGACTGTACAGTGTATTTTGAGTGTAGTGACTGCACAGTGTATCGTGTATGCAGTGACTGTACACTGTACAGTGTATCTTGTGTGTAGTGACTGTACTGTGTATCGTGTATGTAGTGACTGTACACTGTACAGTGTATCTTGTGTGTAGTGACTGCACAGTGTATCTTGTGTGAAGTGACTGCACAGTGTATCGTGTATGTAGTGACTGTACACTGTACAGTGTATCGTGTGTGCAGTGACTGGTGACAGCTGACACGGGGAGATTGACCTTCCCACTGATCAAGTGCCGTTGAAGGTTCAGGTATTTTTAATCGATCGAGAACACTTGGGGCTATAACAAATCAATAATCAGTAATCGATGATCAATCATTATTCCAGGGTCAGTGACACTTTGCCAATCATAGTCTGTCATACAGATCCTGAAATACATCTATCCAATCTAATCTATCCAATCTATTCATACAGCCCATGTAAGTATATAACATTTGGCAAGTCTAGAATACTGCAGTTTCAGGTATAAAAGTGAAGAAATGAATGGCTCCTTTCACTATGTTTTACACTGTTTGTCTAAGATATTCATTAGGGAGACTAGATGTTAGTCTATGCTGATCAGTGAGGCAGTCTTTGTCGAAGGGGGTACTTGTATAGTGACGTCACCCTCAACACTGCGTTAACCAGGAATAATCACCTGAAGTCAGTTCGTCTCACCTGCATTCTTTTCATCAATTATTTACGGTATTTTTTTAGATCGATCGAGGCAAGATCTTTATGCATCCATTCATCGACCCAATCAGATTCCATGCATCATTCCACCTTTTATTCCTTGCAGCCACCCAGCCAGCCACTCATCGATCGATCCATCCATCCATCCTTCCTCCCAAGTATCTATCTGTAAATACAACATCTATCTATCCATCCATGTGTTAGCTCACGATTTCAACCTTATCCGTAGCCGGTGCCACTTTTTCACTGTTCCAGTTCACAAGGCACGACTGTGTAAAGTGCATGTTGTAATTAATACTAAAATCTGAACTATTTCACAAATGCATTACCGGCATCCCGTTTGACACGTCCCCAACCTACACGGCCACCCCCGCACGCCCACATCTCTCCGCCCCCTACCCACAGCAGCTCCAGGTGTCACCCGTTAGCGTCCTGGACTCAAACCTGCCCCACCCTATATAATGACAGCATGAATCACGGCTGACTGTCACAATAGTATATACCAGGGGAGCCACATACAAAAAACCTGGTCCACATCAAACAGGTTTAGTGTGTAGCTGCACTGCTCTGGGTCGAGGCCCGGTGAGACGTTGGGTTCACCTGACCACGTGGCTCTCTAACACCGGAGTACAGCTTTAACTACCCGACCACGCAGTCAAGGGGATCATTAACTAACGCTAGCTACAACGACCATCAGGATAGGGTGTACTGATTATGACAGGTAAGTCGACTTGTTATATACATGGGGGAGGTGATTGTACCGCGGGTGTAGAGGTATAACTGAAGTGACAGATTACTTGTTACATATACACACCTTTGTTATGCCACGAACCAGTGCGGGGATATAGATTAATTTGATATATATGTTGAAACAGTTACGTTTTATCCACTACCGTACAGAGAGAAGGCATCTCACAATGATAGAGCATCTTAATATTCTTGTGTATTTACCGCTATAGCTGTGATTTAACGATCGAACAAGCGAAGGTTTATCAAACATATCGTGGCCGTTAAGTGTCAAGAATGTAATACAATCTGTCCTTAGGTTAAATGCCTGTAAAATATAACTGGATCTATACATACAACGACTGCGGCTTGTATATATACCACCCGTGTAGGTCAGGTTGGGTGACCTGGTATTGGTGTTAAATAATGTACTGTATTCTGTACTTATATAGATGTGTGTATACATGTGTGTACTTAGGTTAAATACTTGTAAATAACTTAATTTCTACAAACAGCAACTGCCGTACATATATATACCATGTGACCTCTCTGATGGTGTTCGATGTTTTACTGTATAAAGTACGTATAAAAACGTACATGTTAGTGTTATATAGAGCTGTTGTTCTTTCAGCTTGTGTCAATATGCGTTATAGGTTCTCTGATCAATGTTTGTTGTGGCACAAGGGGTCAACACTACGTTGCCATGGTGATGGTGACAATGTACTGTTGTGATGGCACCCCGCTGTCACCGTGTGCCGAAGTTGGATGGATGTATCTCAGTCCTCGACTTGATTCAGTGATGGTGACAAGATATCACAAACGGATGCCACACCTTTTCGCCAACACCTGGTGTCGTCACTGTTTGACAGTGATTCAGAAACACAGGTTTATGATTCCGCCGTAATCGTACAATGGACACTGCCTTTAGAGATTTCTTAGGGGAATGGAAATGTTTTGTCGCATTTTATGGACACCCATCACGCCTCGAATCCAAATAAATCTACCTGTATATTGCTTGTTTGGAAACTCCCATGTGATTAGGGACAGCACACGTGGGTCACGGGAATGCAATGTTGCAAATATCAAACAATAATGCCAAATGCATGAACTTTTGAATAGATACAGCGTTAACCTTGATCTTGCTTCTACTGTATCAATAGGCATGTACATCGCCATGTACGATATCGAGAATAACTAAGAATACCCCGCACTGTACCGCACTGCAGTGGAGCTTAATGATGTGTATACCACATTCGTCACCACTCGCCCCTTTCCGTAACCTGCAAGAAGACTCGTCCCCCCTATCGATGAATGTTATGTGACAATACGACAAACCAATCAGAATGCGCGTATGACTTCAAGTACTACGGTCAAAGAATCCCTCAGGAATAAGTTTTGATTTTACACATGTCTTGTATATATAAAAGTATGCCCTAGATACAGTTAAATGTGTTCAGTACTGTATAAATACCGTAAGCCCCGATGTATTTTAAATAACATCTGGAAGATATATGACATGGGGGAAATATACGTGAATCATTACGCAACGAGTTGATAATTCTGTTAACCATGCCCGTTTCCGCTAAGACGGAACCCAGTAGCAAGAAAAACCACGTGAGGGTCACAAATGGTGAATACTATGTATACTATGTCCGGCACAAGTCTGTATACAGTAGTGCCTCCTAGCCTTCAAATCCCTTGGTATTTTTTAAGATTACGTCGTAGTACAATACTGCGTTTGATGAAAATTGAAACGCGTTTGAATAATGATGCTTCATGACGATGTTTTTGAGATAGACATCATGGATATAATAAATTGCATTGTCCCTCCATGAGTGACATGGGGATATCGGAGTGTGAACGTCTGTATCGCTGGGACTATCTGTGTTTGAGGGAGATTATCAGCCGACTTTGTGATCTAGGTTTAGACAAACACACCTGGAATGTGTCGCTGATACGTCACGATTCCAACAAAATTACATATCAAGTATCACTTGTCGAAAGGCTACAAAAGGAAAATCTGTCCCTTCTCTTTTTTTACCTCAAATACAAACCCACACCATCCCCTCAACGTAGGTATCGCCAAATGTAGCACACAGCATCACGGCGAATAACATGCACTATAAATGATACCCATTATATCAAACAAAAGAAAACACAAAACTACGACACATTATATCCTACATCACCACCATGTGCATGACATCACATCATGTCAAATGTTCCATTCCGATAATAAGGAGTATAAGGGATCGATCATTATGCTTCAGACTGTTTAACATTTCTTAAAAGAATACCCAGGCTCAGAGTTTTTATTTAAAAAACAAATCTGCTTTTTCAGCTGTGGCTGAAACATTACACCACATCAAAACACAACATCTTCACAGACTGACTACACACTACACATATCACACCACAAAGCACAGCACATCATCTTCACAAACTGACTAAACACCATACATATCACACCACGTCAAAGCACAGCACAACATCTTCACAAAAACTGACTACACACCATACATATCACACCACAAAGCACAGCACAACATCTTCACAAACTGACTCCACACCATACATATCACACCACAAAGCACAGCACAACATCTTCACAAACTGACTATACACTACACATATCACACCACAGAGCACAACACAACATCTTCACAGACTGACTACACACTACAAATATCACACCACAAAGCACAGCACAACATCTTCACAGACTGACTATACACTACACATATCACATCACAAAGCAAAGCACAACATCTTCACAAACTGACTACACACCATACATATCACACCACAAAGCACAGCACAACATCTTCACAAACTGACTACACACTACACATATCACACCACAGAGCACAACACAACATCTTCACAGACTGACTACACACTACACATATCACACCACAAAGCACAGCACAACATCTTCACAAACTGACTACACACTACACATATCACACCACAAAGCACAGCACAACATCTTCACAAACTGACTATACACTACACATATCACACCACAAAGCACAGCACAACATCTTCACAGCCTGACTACACACCATACATATCACACCACGTCAAAGCACGACACACCAGTAACTAACCCTTACCATCATTCGATGTGATATCTACCCTAACCCAAAACATCATGTCAAACCACCTGCCCACATTACTAAACAAAGTCATCCAAACGAACCATCATCCAAACTATATGAACATCATCATGTGAAATCAACACCACGTCACTATGCGTCATAATATTCTTTTAACCATTATCATATAAACCGCCAGACAAAAGGATGTAAACACCCGTGTTTGATGGTGGCTAAAAATGAAACAAACAAGAAATGGTTATTCGATGGTAATGTATGTGATACGGGTATTTTCAGTAAACTACGGTTATAACGAACTCAAAGGGACCACTAATTTTAGTTCGTTATAACCGTAGTTCGTTATAAGCATATATACAGCATATATACATCAAATGGCCGGGACTAAAAAATAAGTTCGTTCTATCGGTCAGTTCGTTATAAGCGTGTTCGTTATAACCGTAGTTTACTGTAGTTGTGTTTTGGACCCAACGTGTGTAGTGTTTTGGCTTGTAACGCTTCAATAACGTTTGTAATGCAATTATCCAACCGAATTTTCAAGTGTATACTTTCTTTTTCCCAGCACTTTACATGATATAACATCATGGTATACCATCCACAAAACTTTGTCTACAAAACATCCATAACTATTCACCATATATATCACACCAATTAAGGATAAGTCTAAAGACCCCATCACGACGTCATGTTAGACCCACAGAATATCACCAGAAACCAAATACACAACAATAGCATAGTAACCATGGTAAAAGTGCCAGATGCCAACTGTGTCGTGCATGGGTAACATTAATCTGTGTTCGTTCTCCTCGATGACCTACCTCGAGATGAGGCCCACGGATAACACACACCCGTGGTACAATCACGCCCCTTCATGAGGCATTCATTAATGACCTACAAAGAAGCCCCAAAGTAACCACCACATCTTGTACTCACAGTTTGTGTCAACACGAACCCCATGTGTTTGTCTCCCCTGGTTACCTACCCAGCTTCACAAACATGACACTAATTATAAGAATATACATGTATTTAATGATTCCTTCCATTCAATAATTCATCGAGCGTTTGGACTTCAAAGGGAAGTTGTCCCATGTAGATCGTTCGCTGACCTCATCCATGGCAGATGATACAAATCACTTTCTTCAGATCAGTGTGTTCACGCCGTGTCCAGCTTCGATCAAGCATGACTGCTTGTCCTTCCTTCACTGGAGCCTAATGCCATGAAGAAGGCGTGTCCTTTCAGGAGACACTGATTAGTTAGCACTTAGCCTTGCTCTATAAGTCCCAGGAAAAGCCGCATTGTAGGTACGGCATTGTCTGTCGTCGTCAGTCAGGGTCTGGCGTCTTCTGTTCAGTCTGCCGGGAAATTTGTCGATAAGCATCACAATGTTGTTGTGGAAGACATTGGGTGTGATTTATCATCGTTACTTGTAGCGTCACGTGTGTCACGTGTGTCACGTGTGTCACGTCATCAGGTCATGCCATGCTGGATTAGGTGTATTGGATAATTTAACTCTGGAGACCCAACCCTGTTGTGAGAGTGTTTCACTACCTCGTGTTCTCTCAGTAGACTCCTATGTGTGATTCATAATGAGCCTAAGGTGGATGTACTGATGATTGTATCTTTATATCCCCCAGGTATAGCTGTAAGTTTATACGATTGTATTTGAACTATAACAAAGGTCATACACAATCTGTTTGATGTTCAATGTAGCACCATTCCAGTTATATCGCGGAAGCCTGTGCTTTTAATCAAATCTGGATCAATCAAACCAGTGACTGATATCATGAGCAACGTCCTTACCATCGGGTTACGATGACATGTCACTAAAGCTGAGCGATCCCTTTACTCCCATCGCACAACAAGCAAAGGCCGTTGGGG